TAGCTGCCCTTCAGGTCTGGAATTGAACCCACTGGTGTGGCTTCCAGCCAAACAAAAGACAGGCACATGAGCTGAACGTTTACATTAGGTAGATACACTCCCTGGAGAGATCAGTCATGGGAGACTAGCAGGGCTGTGTACGCACAGGGAGACAGCTCAGGGGGCAGGAGTGCACTGGAGGGAAAGACACAGGGAAGAGGAAACTATGGGAGGAATTGGGAGGAGAGCTGTTGCACTGTGGGAAATAGCAGTCAATGTCATGAGACAAAGCATATGTGAACTGCTGTACAGAAAATGAATTTGCTCTGTAAACTTTCACCTAAATCACACACACACAAGTTCCCCTTATTGTTCAATATGCATCTAGACCGACCGTCCAAGATGGATTGACACAGTGGCTGTAACGATGGTACAGCAAGGATTGTGAGACTGGCATACTACCTGGCAGTATTTTGTTCTGTTGCATGTAGGGTCATCATGAGTCAGAGCCAACCTAACAGCACCTAACAACATCGTTCAGTGCCAGCTCAGCTCTGGGGCTGGGCTGGCTCCACCCTGGCCCCTGCATTAGTCTCAGTCCCTGTCCCTCCCCTCTCACCCACCTCTTGCATTTTTAATGCTGAGTGCTGCTAATGGGCTGCTGGCTCCAGGCGGAAGGGAAGCTTTCCCATCACTCATGCTACAGCCCCCGACGTCAGCCCTGTCCAGGAGGGGACCTACTTGGGCAGGGGGAAGGCAGCAGGCCCTCTCAGAGTCCTCTGGCCCCAAGGTTTGTCAATGCGCAGTTTAAGGGTCTTTGCTTGGTGGTCCACCCATCTTGCCCTTCTGGATCAGCTAGGACTGCTGGGTGCCAGGTGGTGGAGGACGTCCATTGGATCCTGGGCCCCTCTCTTTCCCCACCATGCTCTTCTGCCATCTGTCCCAGCCCTGCTACCTTGCACCACTGAAGGCCTCAGAGGGTAAGGTCACAAACCAGCTCTCCACCTCCAGGGCCGCCCTGCCCGGCAGCTCCCTTTAGTGACCGTCGCTAGTGTCTCCCGTCCCAGGTTCACTCACTCGGCCACGTTTTCCGGACTCCGCTTCACCACAGCAGCTCCTCGGCTCGTCTCCGCTCCGGGGCCGGCAGGCAGGCTGTGCGCACTCCAGTGGTCTGTGCGCTGTGGCGTTTTCAGGCAGCAGCCGTGCTCAATAACTAGGTGTGGTCCAGAGACCAATTACAACCTCCGCGTGGTCCCTGAGCTCTCAGGGAGCTGCGCACAGGCAGTCCCAGGCCAGGCGGGGCATTGGCAACTCTGCCCGCCCTCGCCGGTGTCTGTGCCACAGCCCATAGGCTCTGCGGCTGTTGTCAAAGCTCCTGGCTTAGGTGGGCTGAGAAAGCAGTACACCAGGGGCTATTTCAAGTCCCTTCTTGCCTTGCGTTTCTAAATACTGCAGATGGAATATCACCAAATAGTTCTTTCCTAACAAACTCACATGGAGAGCAGCCCCCTCCTCCTCGTAGCCTGGGACTAGCAGAATCACTGATCAATGTTTATTATGACTGGCGAACAACAGGAAAACCTGTTATCTTAAAAAGTGTGCAGCAGCGAGCATGCGTGCTGAGAACCACCAGGCCCAGGGTGCTCAAGGTTAATTTGTACAGAGTTTAGCAGTTCAGACACTCATGACACAGGCCTCTTCCCAAGGCGCCTATTTCTAACTGCAGCTTCTCCAAACAGGAGGCGAGCGGGGCCTGGAAAGATTTCTGCAGGCAAAGAGCTTCTTTTCCAGATGGAACAAGAAAAGAAAGCACCAACTTTATGCTGCTTCTGGCTGTATCTTGCTTTTTGTAACTGTTAAAAGAATAGTTTTCTGACCCTTTCCAAAGCAGGCTCTTATATCAACATCATCATCCAGAAACAAATGGCTCCTTAATTTGATCAGGCTCCCTCATTATCAAATCAGTGCCTCGGCCGCAGCCTGAACGGAAGCAAGGGCAGAGCATTACCCAGCCCTCAGGAAGCCGCTGCAGTAACTGCTCCCCCAGAGGGCTGGTCACCTGAGGGGCTTCTATGTCTTGCACAGTCATAGGGAAGAAAGGGGGGAGTGGCCCTTTATACCCTTCATACCTCATCCCACCCCCGAGCTAAGAGAGGAAAAAGAGAGCTACTAAAATAAGCCTGATTCTGAATGGGACAACACCCACGAAATGAGGATATTTCTACAAATGAACTTGTATATGCTGCGAATACATCCATGAATAGTGTAGGACATGTAAGGGGAAAAGTTATGAAAACTTCTTAGCCAAAACCAAACACGCTGAGGGAGTGAGTCACTTGGCCTCTGGGCTCAGGATCATAGTTTTGAGGTCAATGAGAGTAATATACAGTCCACAAAAACAATGTGCTACATCCAACTCTGGTGAGTAATGACTAGGGTCTTAGAGTAGAACTGGCCAATAGGGTTTCCAAGGCTGTACATTTTCATGGAAGCAGACTGCCTCATCTTTCTCCTGGGTTTAAAGTGCCAACCTTTTGGTTAGCAGCCAAATGCTTTAACCACTGTGCCAGTGGAACTCCTGGAGCAAAAAAAGAGTAAAGAAAAGCAAAGATGCTAGGAAACAACTGGTCCCAAGGTCTAATGGGCCACACGAACCCCAGCCTCCATGACCCTGAGACCAAAAGAACTGGATGGTGCCCAGATGTCACTGCTGACCACTCTGAGAGGGATCACAATAGAAGGTCCCAGATAAAGTGGGAGAAAAATGTGGAACAAAATTCAAAATCATAAAAAAGACCAGGCTTACTATCTGACAGACTAGTGGAACCCCAGGACTATGACCCTTAGACACCCTTCAGGCCTGGAACCGAACTCATCCCTGTGCCTCAACTTTCAGCCAAAGGACAGACACGCCTATAAGGTGAACAGTAACACAGAGAGGTACACACTCCTTAGAACCAACCAAACATATGAGATCCAAAGGGCAGCGTTTGCCCAGGGATGGAGCTCAGATGGCAGGAAGGGATGGCAAAGAAGGAGGAAGGGAAATGGCAAACACAGGGAGCAAGTGGGAAGAGAGCTGTTACATTGTGGGGACTGCAACCAATGTCACCAAACAACATGTAAATGGATCTACTTATGAATTAGATTTAAATATGAATTGTTGAATGGAAAACCAATTTGCTCTGCAAACTTTCATCCAAATCACAATGCAAAGTTAAGGGGGAAAAAAAAAGACTTTGATCTAGAATGATAATCTCAAAGTTTCTGCTGATCATTTATCCCGCTGAGGGTGAAGACTGAAACACTTTCTTGAGCTTCTGAATGTAAAGCCAGC